ATTTAAAAAAACAAAACAAAATAAAACCAACCACAAGGCTTTCTATGTTCTAAAACAAATGTGCATCTTTCTATAGTATCCATGAGATAGGTGATAAAAAGCTTTCTAGGAAAAAAATAAAACAACACTAACAAAATCCAAACCAAGAAACATAAGTAAAAAACCCCAAGTGTAAGTAAAGGGGGGGGAAAAAAAATATGTATTATCTATTGACTGCTGAGCTCTATATTTTCCATCCTGATTAGAATTAACAACACTGCCCAGTCCTGGTTTACTGTGAATGATGTACCCTGTGACTTGCAAGCTGTAATGTGATCCTTCTACTGCCAAACCTGTACTTTCTGGTTTGGTTTAGAAATACAACTTAGTTTTCAAGTATATGGAAAATATATTGAAATCCAAGTTTGTCTAACTCAGGAAAAGACTTTATCATCTGTGAATACCTTTTTCTTTTTCCTTATTTAACCGCAAGCATTATTTACTAAGAGTTTTATATATGATTTCCCTACTTAAAAGGAACAGTGTGGGTTTCTAGAAGGTGGTGATGCTATACAAGATTTAACTGGGTAGATTGGGAAGACTTCTTAAAAGATGAGTACCGAGGGAAAAAAAACCCAAACCAACCAAACCAAACAACCTCCTGCTATATATTTCTTTTATTCATTGGCTCCTGTACCTACATCAGGGAATAATTTTAGTGTATTTTGCTTTCAAAGTGTCCAGACCTGTTTTCCACTCTGAGCTCCACAGACCACCTGACTCCACTAGCTAGGTCCCTTAGTGTAGCACGAATTTCCCTTCTGAAAGGGAAATTTTTACTCTTAATTATTGCTAATTACTTACCTGCTACTGTAAATAATTTCAGTTTTAAAATTTAAATTCAAATTTGTCTCATTTGATAGTGTATATAAGGATATAGTGGTTAAAGAGAAAGGAGTATGAGTATAGAAATGATCACATGAGAGTTAGGAAAGAAATTCAGAGAGCGCACTGTTCTTGCAGCTTGAGTGCAAAATAATCTTCCATAAATCTTCCCAAACTGACACGTGAAATTGTAGGTCAAGGACTACACAAATGCAATAACAGTGAGGATAAGAAAAATATAAATATGACTGGAGAAGAGTTCAGAGGATACATTTTGGAAAAAAATCAAAAAGACATGCAGGTAATTGGAAAATAGCATAAACGTAGCATGAGCTTCCTAATGATACATCACTTGGTCTAACACTTCATTAATCTAGAAAATTAATAAATAAGACTTGTCTCACATCTGGACTTAATTTAAAACATTGCAATTTTCCACATGAGGACTTGTTAAATTTGTGAAGATAAGCATTAATAGAAGAATTAAAAGTTGGCAAAGAACTGCCTGAAGGGTAAATGAAAGGAAAGACTGTGTTGAAAAGGCATAGCATTGTCTGGAATAAAAGTTACAGCACAGTTCTTTGATGCTCATTTTAAAAATTGGTTTAAAAAAGAGGGGATAACTGTAGCACAGGAAAAGTGACCATAAAACCAGCCCTGAATAAAGCCAGAAAGCAGGTAACAAGGGTTCATTTTAACCATCCAGGCAACAAGACTCTGTAGCAGTGTTGAGGGGAGAAGCTGGGACAAACTTTCCCACTTTCTTTTATTAAGGAGTCTTCCTTAGTTTAAAATTTTGTATCACTGACAGAAAAGGTCCCTTCGAGATTCTGTGGAAGTTTAAATAGATTTTGTTTTCCTTAACTCTTTTGTACTTCTTTTGCAGAAAGGCTGGTGGCAGACACAGAGGAGCCTCCTGCCAGTTCTTGAATTGACAAATTAGTTAAGTTCCTCATGCTCTTGATCCCAAGAGCATTTCATTTACAGATTTGACTAACAATGAAGATGAACTCAAGATGGGAAAAAAAAATATTTGCCAGCAGTGACAAAGGCAACTGAAGAAAAGTTAGAGGCAGAATCCCAAGAGAAAACAGAGCTCCACATAGCAGAGCCTGGGGAAAACACTAAAAGTCTGTTGCTACATCAAGCATTCAAAGATACACTGAAAAACAATCCTACTTAAAGAAACAACAAAAGAATCTATTAACTTTCATTCTGAAATAAGCATGAAGAGTTTCAGTAATAAAGCTGTAATCTTCTGGCTCTAATGATGAGTATATTACTGGATGGATGTACTAAGGAATACATAGAATCATGTAAAACCTACATCCCACAACTGGTACTTTTCTGATGTCAGGTCTACTCTAATTTGAAAGGAATGTTTCTGACCCTTGGATTCAGCACCTTCAATCTCCATGTTACTACCCTCTGGTTTTCCTCACCTGAATTTTCTCTTGTACTTATGACAACAAGGAAGAAGCCATATCATACTTTTTTCAGTAGGAACAATGATGAATTATGAAATAAATGAAATAAAAAGACATCAAATAAAAAGCCATGTTTCTTTCCCACTATGCCAGTTTCCAATACAGCTGGATTCAATTTAAATGATGGAAGCCCTGGATGCTACAGTTTAATTACGTCTCTGTCACCATTTAATGTAGCAGGAGATAGTCACAGATATAAAGTAGACAAAAAGAGTCTAAGCAGTGATCTTAGAATCATAGAATCATTAAATGTGCCATATATTGATAACTAAACATATGTACTACTCACATAATATGCAAACTACTACTTACAATGTTATTTTCTTTAAACAGTTCTGCTGTTTCACATCACGGCCCAGTTTTCTTCTAGTCATTTATAAAGCATTTAACATCATTTTGTGTGGGAAACACTATCTAATCCAATACACTTAATGACATTTATGTTTCTTAATTTTATTTGAACAAAGTTCTTTCCTTGGCCCCAGATTAATAAATTGCACAACGTTTCATAATTATACAGTCAGTATAAATAAGATCTTAACACCATTCTGATTGCATTTCCTTTTTTTCTCCCTAGTTATTTTACCTCTTTAGTCAATTTCCCCTGTTTTGTTATGATAAAGGAATAATGCACCTCTGCATTGGTGTAAAAATAGAGATGGTTATCTCCAAAATAAAATGCAGCATAATTTTGCAGATAATTTATGACAAGAGTTCAGAGGTGAAAGAAAAACACCCTCTTGAGAACTGCACCTTGGAACCAAAGAGGGACTAAACTCCTCAAACTTCTTCCTAGTTATTCTGGGAGGGGGTAGGTGGCAAAGTTGCTCTTGGGTTCCTCAAGTCTTCATTCTGAAAGCATCATATACTAGAAACTGAGTACTCCAAAAGAGGGATGCACTGCACAGTAAGTTTAAATACAAAATAGAATAAAAAAGCACAATGATTATTGGGCAAAACTCTATAGTTCTTCATCAGCTTTTCTTCCCTTTTTAAAAATAATGGCCTTGTGACCACATCATTACCATTCCATACTTATCAACAAAATCTGATACACAGTGAAAAGCATGCTCCAGTAGCTGTCATTTAGCTTTACAAGACTTTATGTCCCCTATGAAAAGCACGTGATCTAAACACTTGGAAAGGAAGCTGTAACTCACATCACTCCAAGCGTAAGAATTGATTTTCTTCTAATTAAGAGCCACCAGCAATGTGCCAGACAAACAAACTGTCCCAAAGGAAGAGTGTAATGTTTTTAAAGACTGAAAACAAAGAATGAAGTATTTTTGTACCTTTCCAGTCACTTTAAATATAAGCTTTACAGTGCCAGAGAAAGAAACTGATTTAATTTCCTTACAGAGTTCATTAAATAGATAAAAACATAAAAACCACACGTGTGTGCCTATACATACACCACAAAAACACTGAGAATGTCACACCTGAAATTATCTAAAAATGCTCATATCCTTAATGTTAACTTGCCAACATCCTCACCATCCACATATTTTTTTTTCTTGCTTAATAATAAACACCTGGTGATATCTTCCTAAACAGAATAGACATGGCCACTGTTTTGAACCCTGAAGATGTATTTTACAGATCTGTGGTCATCTGATTACCAAATAAAACAAGTTAATATACATATACTATATATATCTTATACAAGAATATAACTTCAGCAACTATATATTTATGTGACAGACATCAATACATAGTTAACTAAATCTAAAATAAAATATTCTGGTCCCCTTCTCAATCACTTAATGTTGTTGTAAGAATAAAATCTGCAACTCTGGCAAAATTTCAGACAATTTCCATTATACTGTCTTTCACAGGATTATCTATTCCTACCCCTAGGTTTATTTCTGTAGCAAATTTTCAACATTTAAGGTCTTTCTGAAAAGTTAGTTTGTGAATTTAAGTACTGGATGTTTTCAGGGGAGGAAAGTAGGACAGGTTAGGAAAAATAAACGTTAACAGAAAAGTGCACAAGTAATTACGAAATGTCAGGAATTCTTTCCCATCCCCATCAAAACCAGTTCTCTCTTGTCTAGGTTAATCCATTCTTCTCTTCTGCACATGCCTTGGAAGTTTCTTAACCTTCCACCTTCTACCACTATCCTTATCCCTTAATTCCAGCCTCCCAGCACCTTTTCTCTATCCATCAAGCTTTCTCTCTCTTCTTGTGATAAATCCTCCTCCTTCCTTATAGAACTGATATGACAAAATTTTTAAAGTAGCACTTCCTGCACAGTTCTCCAACTTCCCTTCCAGCCATAGGAAGGCTCTGAACCTGGAGATGGAACCTGCCCAAGACACTTAACTTTGGTTTGGCTTTTTAAGTTGTCATGGTTTTATAATGTAGCTTAAATCGGCTACTGTTTAAAAAGAAAATACAAAGCAGCTGAGCAAATGGCAAAAAAATAATAGCCTGTCTGTTTGGGGGGAAAAGGAGACTATTCACATAAAATTCATGTTGCATCCATCTTCTGCTTGGTAAATTAAGATGCTGCCATGTAATTTTTCCTCAAGACAGAAAAAAAAACCATAGACAAGACTTGGATAAAGTACACTGGCATAAGCCAACATGAAATAATTTTATGTTTGTGCAACATTCAAATACAAACACTGGTTAATAAGCTACTGTACCTCATTTTGAAGTTCATCATCACTTTTGGTAGAAGCAAGCATCTCGTACAAAGTACAGCAGAGGTCTTCTGTGGTTGGCCCTCCAGGGGTACCCCCTTGAGATTCATTCAGATACTTTCCAACTTCACACCACAAAAAAGAATCGTCTACTTTTTGCAAGGACTTGATATCAGATTTCTCATCACAGTAATTCTGTAAGTGATTCAGCTGGTTATTCAGGTATTTGTTGTAATCTAAGCTTATAATTTTCTGCACGTCGGCCTCACCATTCACAGGCAGCTCCTCAGAATGATCCAAATCATGCATGTCAAAGGAAAACACTATATTTTTACCAAAGAACACTCTGTTATCACCATCTTGCTCTTCAGCCATCTGCATGAGAGCTGTAAGCTGTTCTTCAGTGAAGTGAGAAGCAATCCGACATGTGGCAGTACAAGCTGCAGTAGCAGATGATGATGGAAATGGCCCAAACATCTGCTTGATCGCCTTTGTCTCATCATGGCCAACACATTCTTTCCTGTGAAATGTCTTAAAGAGAAAAACAGCTCCGCTTTCAATTGCTTCTTGTCCATTTTCAGCTCCAACTGTTAACAAAACCAAAAGCAAATGTAACTTCATACACTTCAAACTAATTCTCTTTCATTGCCTGTAACTTTACTGTATTCAATTTCTTGCTGCCAGTCTCATCAACAGAGATATGAAACACAGACCATAACAACAAGTAGCAAATGTTGCAAGGTACTGAATTATAAAAGGTATATCATCATAAAGCATCTGTCTTTGTTATTCTTCTCCTTACTAGAAATTAATATTAAGGATTACCAGTGCTTTCTTATTTTTACAAGAGGAAAAACTTGCCTGAGGTCTGAAACTCACAATTATATATTTATGAGCTTTTTAAAGTTAACAAATTTGCACTTTGTTTCAATGTTTATTCACTGCCTAAGCTGAATATTCATAACACACTAAATGACAGAACTCAGCTTTAGAACGTAGTAATTCTCAGTAGAACTACTACAGAATGTGTGTTCATTCGAAAAATTGCCCAAAGGAATTACAGCAAACAACTGCATGATTTTTAAGTTATTAAATATTGAATTACAAAAATAAAAAATATATTTATATTACAGAAAAGCATGAATTTGACTCTTACATAAAAATTTGCAAAGCTGCTCAAGGAAAACAAGCAAAAACAACATATGACGACCCAAAATGTCAAAACAAGCCAGAACACTGCAGGTTGGTTTTTTTTATGTGAGGACAACATACAGATTTTATGTTTAAAGAAACGTTCTAAAAAGTGGGGTAGGTTACTCCAACGTTTTTAGTATATTATCATTTTAATTGTTATTCTTTCTTACAAGATTTCATCATTTTAAAACATCTTAAAACCTTACTGAAGAGATTTACAAGCAGCTACTGTCAAGATTTCTGTATCCAACCAATTCTATAGTGGATCAAATAGTGGCACTCCAGCAGAGACCAGTATGATTTAAGGGACAACACTGGTGATTAACCCCTGCCATGGCTAATTCAAAAGAACTGTTAAAAAAAGTCTTTATTTTAAAAGCAACATTATTTTTCAAAACCCCCAAAGACACTTCTGGCATAGCAAATGTGGCTGTTCTCTTGTCAGTAATCAAAACTGTCTTGCGCCTGCCCCTCTACACCTCTGTTACCCAGCTATCGCAGAATCATAGGGATTGGAAGGGACTTCTGAAGTTCAAGTCCAACCTCCCTGATGCAGCAGGAACACCCAGGGCAGATCACACAGGAACGTGTCCGGATGGGTCTTGAAAGTCTCCAGAGAAGGAGACTCCACAACCCCTCTGGGCAGCCTGTCCCAGGGCTCTGTCACCCTCACAGTAAAGTTGTTTTTCCTCATGTTGAGGAGGAACTTCCTGTGTTGCAACTTGGTGCCATTTCCCCTCATCCTATCACAGGGCACCACTGAAAAGAGACTGGCCCATGCTTGACATCCACCCATCAGATATTTACAGACATTCATAAGGTCTCTTCTTAGTCTTTTCAGGACTAAACAGCCCCAGGTATCTTAGCCTTTCTTCATACGACATGTTCCAGTCCCCTAATCATCCTCGTAGCCTCCCGCGGACTCTTTCCAGTATATCCCTGTCCCTCTTGAACTGGGGAGCCCAGAACTGGGCACAATACTCTAGATGTGGTCTTATGAGGGCAGAGTAGAGTAGCTATGGGCCTATGCATTTTCTCTACTATGTCCCTGTTTTCTGCCTTTTGAAAAACCTCCTGAAATCAGTGGGATTTTTAAATTACTGTGCCATTGTTACTTGTGACCCAATTCAAAGTAAGTTAGGTTCAACTCTAGCAAAAGCAAGGCTTTTTGTCCCCACTGTCTAAGAGGACAAAGCAGAAGAAATTCAGCATAAGCAGATGGAACAAGGCTGAGTAACTATAAATATAATACATAAATGTAGGTACCTAAAAAATAAGTATTTCTCTTCTTCCCTAGGATGCACTCTGAAAAGCTGAAAAGTTCATGTAGTGGATTGGAGGTGACATATACAGCATAATTACATACCTACATATGTAATATATCTGTAAATCTGTGTGTGTGTGTATAAATATATATATAGGTAAAGTTATGTCAAAGGAAAAATGTGGCTCAGCCTCTCTCTCAACATTAGCTATATAAGAATCACGGGACAAAAAAAACAACATCTGAAAACTTACAGGCCTAAGTTTGGCTGCTTGAACCTCACTCTTATATTACTAACACACAAACATACATCATTATTTAAGATCACTTGTGTCAGAACATAAGTACACATTACTAAATTAAAAGAACAATTGGACTGAAGGATTTGAGAAAAGTCTCCTGGGTACATTATGTGCTAATTCTCCTTTATAATCAGCATCTCCTATTCATGGAAGCATCTTCTGAGAAAATACTACCCTTCCCCTCTGAATATAATGAGCCAGCCAAGATGGCAAGAGATGTACTAATTGAAGCTACTCTCCCCTTTTTTGTTTTTAAGCTAATCAGCAAATTTCAGTAAGTGACATTTTCCCCATAAAGTAAATCAATATTACAGTACTGTTGCCTAGGCTGAGATTTCATTCCCTTGAAATTAAGCTAAAAAGGCATATGAGCAACTCCCTTTCCCTATTACCCATTTCTGATGATGATTGGAACATCTACTGTCAGTGCAGTTTGTAATCCTGTCACTGTATTCCATTCTGGTTTGTGTCTCTACAACATTATACATCTTTAGTCAGAAGTGTCAAAGCTGATTTTTTTTTTTTAAACTACTCTAACTAAATAATCTAGCATTTGCTTTCATTCCGTTTGCTCCTCCACTCCACCAAACCAAAATTTACTACTATTACTTTCATGTCTTACAATTTGCTTTACCTACCCACCATATTGGCCCTGCTATTAAAGTCTGGAAAAATATAAATAAAATTATGGACTCTTCCCTTTCCATCACAGCTGTGTCCAAAACCTAACTCTACTACTACAGCACAGTAATAAACATATTTTAAGTACTAGCAAAAGAGTATGAATTGTGACGGCAATTGTCAAACAAAAAAACCCCAAAGTTTTTAAGGTCTGTAATGCCAAAGAAAAAGCAAATATATTTATACATACTAATTCTTTCCATCTTTTACTTAGGGTTCTGTTCAAGCTACTTGAAACACAATCAGAAAAGGAGCAAATATGCCTATTATATTGAAATGAAAAATTCTTAAACATGTGACAGCTGGAGGTTGAGCCATGTGCTCAGTTTATGAGCTGATGAAGTTTAATTCTGCTAACAGCACATGCTGAATTAGTTTCAGTCTGTAGATCAAAAAGTAAGCTTCCAATCAAAACTAAATTTTCCCACCTTCTTTGCCATAACGTGTATTCAGTTTTAAAAGCTCAATTCCACATGAGTGAAATTTTTTCTTTCTCTTCCCAACATCAAACACTTCAAACAGAAAACATATATTTCTTTAAATATTTTTATCTGCTTATGTAGCAATCCAATTTTTCCTCATACAATCATGTGGCACTAACACAGATAACACCAAGACTGATTTTTTCTTGGGAGTACTGCCATTCCAAAAGCAGCTGTTGCTTTTGCTTTCTATTCATCACAAACCAAACCACACAACAGTACTATTAAAATGCAAGAATATCCACATAATATCCAAATAATAATGGAATAATATTTGAAAACATAAATTGTGCACATATACATCAGATTAACTGGAGTTTCAAAGATATTTCAGGGCAAGCCTGGTATCAAGGTAGAACTAAAATTATACCAGTATGCAAAGTCTGCAGGCAGAAAATAGATGGAAAAAAACCCAAACCCCAACAAAACAGTCTATTATTAGGCTAATAGAGAAAGAAAACCTACCTATTTGTTTTGCAGCTTGTAATATAGTTTTTAAATCACCATTTACAGTTTGGTGTTCTTTTTTGTCCAAATTGTCATCAACAAACTTTATTATCTTCTTCCAGGTAAGATCAGACTTCAGCAACTGTTCATGTAGCTTTGATCTTTTAGTCTGAAAATGCAAAATATTTGGGTTTTTCAAATGAGTATATGGAGGATCTTTTAAAATTAAACACCAGATTGAAAAAACGTCTTTCCAACTGCACTCAGTCAGTATGTAGTAACGATTGCAAGCATTTCCCTTCTACCTGTTCTTCACATTTTTCCTCTGCATAAGGAGGGAGAAGGATACACACAGACAATCTCTCACTACTTTGCTCCTTCCAAGGCACCATTTTCTGTAAAGCCAACCTATTGCAACTTCAAGAGACTTACAGGTCCCAAGTTTCCAAACTAATTTCACATTACAGGTTCCCACAACACATTGACTGCTTTAACGCGTTTTTAGCTTGGGGGGGAAAAAAGTACCTAAATTCAGTATCACTAAATTTATTCTGAACAACCCCCAACAACAGTCCAAGGTGAGCTTCATATTCAAAGAGAGCTAAAAACATACCAGCCCAGCCTAGTTTAAAAGAACTTCCTGAGAAATGAAATAATAGGGATGTAGTAACATAGCCAAGCAACCCTATCCATATAGCACACCATGATCACAGAAATCACAGAATCACCATGGTTGAAAAGGACCTTTAAGGTCACTGAGTCCAAACCTCAACACAAAAAAACCCCAAACCCAAACACAGACAACCACACACACTCCACCAAAAAGCACCCACAAAAAAACCCCAAACCACAACCTCAGGCACCACAGCATGCCCTGAAGTGCCACATCTACAGTTTTCTTTAATACCTCCAGGGATGGTGACTCAAGCACCATCCTGGGCAGGCTGTTCCAGTGCCTGATCACTCTTTGAGTATAGAAATTCTTCCTTAATATCCAATCTAAACCTCCCCGGCTGCAATTTCAGGCCATTTCCTCTGGTCCTGTTACTGACTTGGGAGAAGAGGCCAACATCCACCTACCTACAACCTCCTTTCAGGTAGTTGTAGAGGGTAATGAGGTCTCCCCTTAGCCTCCTTTTCTTCAGACTAAGCAATCCCAGTTCCCTCAGCCACTTCTTGTACGATTTGTTCTGTAGAACATTCACCAGCTTGGTAGCTCTCCTCTGGACATGCTCCAGCACCCCAATGTCCTTCTTATAGTGAGGGGCCCAGAACTGCACACAGGACTCAAGGTGCACCTCATCAGTGCCAAGTACAGGGGCATGATCACTTCCCTACTCCTGCTGGCTATACTATTCCTGATACAGGCCAGGATGCTGTTGGACTTCTTGGCCACCTGGGCATACTGCTGCCTCATGTTCATCTGTCTGTCAACCAGCACCCCCAGGTCCTTTTCTGCATTGCATGGGGGGCTGATGATTGTAAATGCCCAGCATAAATCACAGAGCTACAACAAATATGACTTTGAGCAAGGACACTATGGAAGAATGCACAGGCAATGACAGACAATAATCCCAGTCTTTCTTGCCTACTCCTATAAAACAGCAAGGCAAATCAAGAAAGTAAACTATTCTTACCATATACACACTAATACTTTACAATTATTCTTTGGAAAAGAAAAAACTCTTTACCGTCAAGTCAGCTAATTCTTCACTGCAATCCTCATGTTTAGTGACATTTGAAAAGGAGCGTAAAGCGCCTGTCAGACGAGGCAAGGCCATCTGTTGCTCTTAGTGATCCATAGGATGAGAAATTAAATCCCAGCTCAAGCACCTAGACGAGAACAAAATGAGTAACATAACTTTGTTTATGCCATAAATACAAATTTGCATCACAAGCTTGAAAGACCTTTTGAAGCAAGCACCAGCACTTCAATTAAATAAATTTAGAAACTTTCTAAATGCTCATAATCAAGATTCAATGGACAGTGGGTGAAAGGCACAGGCAGTGGGCAAGACATGGTAACAGGCAGAGGTCTCAGCAGGTTCTTCTTCTCTCTTCTTCCTAAAGGTTACCAGCAATGAGTGGTAATTATTCCTTTAACACCACTAACGCAATAATAATACAGTGAAATATAGTGAAATATATGTAATTGAACTTCAGCTCTCGACAGCAGGAAGTGATTACAACCTACCAGAAGATTTTCTCTGACCCAGCCCACACTGGGGGCTTTCAGGTCCTAAATAGCCTCTGGAGCTGATGCCAGGGCATCCTTCTTGAGAACCACTGAGCCATTTTTAACCAGCAAAACAGGCAAGGAAAACTATGACGGGAAAAAAAAAAAGTATCATAATGCGGATAGCACTGAACCATTATAAAAGATAAAGGGAATAAAAAGGGGCACCAGAACACTGAAAAACGTATGCCTCGGGGTGTTTTCATCTCACAACTGTGAGTATAAACACACACTTCAACAGCATGGGGCTCTCTCCAGGACTACAAGCTATTTCTTGCATGTTCTTATTTCCTTTGTGGAACAGGCTCATAACTATACAGCAAAACACAGCTGTTCTCCATCTGAATGTGTACTTGTTCCAAGCCTTTTACTGAAACTATTTTTGAAGTTGTTTAATTTTGAAAGCTGCCCACAGCTGCATTGTTTAAGGAACTCTAATGTACAGCTACTGTTTCTGATAATAGCAGGTAGATACAGATTTAGATTCTTTTTGAAACAATTAATGATACCATTACAAACCTAATGATCTGCATCATTCTTTGCATGCCTGAAGACCATCGGCCATTCAGAATTTAAATAACTTAAACCAGAGTTCATAAAATTACTTCCCTTCCCCCTCTCCACCCCCCCCAGTCATAAACTGTACAAAACTCCCTGTTTTAATCCAATTATCCTTAACATTTTTCTTCATTTAATGACCACATTTGTATCTTACCTATCAGCTTTGCAAAAGCAAACCCAGATACAACATTCCAGTCAGACAGAGAAATGTCACTGACTTGCCAGGTCTGCTTGGTTTCCCACCTTGCATTAAGATGCTTTTTGAGAAAAGCTATCACAACAGCTGATACTTTGGAGATAAATCTTATCATGATGAAGCTACAATATGTGGAAATAAGAAATCTTTAAGTGTGAAGGAGACAGAGAGGACATGTTCTGCTTTTAAGATGTTCAGGGGAAGTCAAAC